TATTTGCCAGTTGTGTACATGTACATCTTATAAGGGGTTCACATCCAAAATATATGAGAAATTCCTACAACTCATTAGCAAACACACAAACCCCCAAATCAAACCAATTTAAAACTTGGCAAAGAATCTGACTAAACATTTCTCCAACGAAGGCATACAAAGAACCAAAAGATAAACAACCAGGTACTCAACATCACTAAACTTCAGGAAAATGCAAATCAAAATCACAATAATATATCACCTCACAACTATCAAAATGGCTATTATCAAAATACAGATAATGTGTTTCTGAGGATATGGAGAAGAGAACCTTTGCACACTTTTGTTGGCAATGTAAATTGGCAGTTATTATAAACAACACTATGTACTTTCTTGAAAAAATTAAAAATAGATCTATACAGTACCCAGCAATTTGACTGCTGGGTATGTATCTAATGGAATTGAAATCAGGATCTTGAAGATGTATTTCCACTTCCACACTCATTGTAGCATTATTCACAACATCCTTGACATGGAATTAATCTAAGTGTTCAAAGGTGGATGAATGGATCAAGAAAATGGGATTTAGCGCAGTGGCACCGCGCCTGCCTTGCAAGTGTAAGGTCCTGAGTTCGATTCCTGGTACCAAAAAAAAGAAAAAATGATACACACACACACACACACAAATTGGATATCATTCAACGTTTTAAATGAGAGATAAATCTTGTCATTTCCAACAACATCAATGAATGTGAAGGAAATTATGCTAAGTAAATAAGCCAAACCCAGGAAGACAGATATTGTATGATTTTGCTTACATGCGGAATTGAAAACAAACTCACAGAAGTAGGGAGCAGAATGACAATTGCTAGAACTGGGATGAGGAAGAAACGGGAAGATGATGCTCAAAGAATACAAAGTTTCAGCCATGTAAATTAAACAAGTTCTAGAAATTTATATTGCATGTAACGAAAGTTATTTGCAGTAAATATATACCCTTCCATTAGATTCCCATTTCTTTTTACCCTTTCCTCTCTCATTTAGTAAGTATACTTCTTATTGTTGTTGTTAAACCATGTGAGAGTTAGTTATAAGGTAGCATTTCCTTCCTCATACTTCAGCACGGAACATGGTCACTCTTCATGAACATAGTTGTAAATTCAGGAAATTAATTATAGCCCATGTTCATAATTTTCCAAATGTCCTAACAATGCCATTGATAGTTACAATTTATTCATTTATCAAGAAAGACACATTACTTTAAATTCTACTCTTAGTTTTCTTTTAATCTGGAGCATTTCCTGCCCTTACTTTCTGCTTTCATTTTTTTTTTAAGTGTTTCATTCTTTAATAACACTGACATTTTTTTGTCAAATGCCAATGCCCATTGTTGCCACGTCAAAACCCAAAACAGATTTTTTTCAGAATGTCATAGCTGTGATTTTAAAATATGACTTATCAGAAAGATTGTAGCATTTTCTTCAAGTTCAGATGATCAGATATCTATAGGAAATAAGCTTTCTGGGTATGGTAGTTATGCTTAAGCAGCACTGTGTATGACTGGGAAAAAAAAGAGACAGACATTAAGGTAACTGTGAAGGAGTGCTAATGATTCCATCAAATCTTAGGATTTGGTAAGAGGAAAGTGAGAACATGAGGGCAGTAACGATATTGATAAAAGGGGTAGGTAGTTCACTAACAGTCTCTAATGTGGGAGCATTGGATCAGGAACAAGGGAAGTGCAGCTCATCAGTGAATATGTCCAGTCTTTTTCACTAAATACATCTGTAAGCCCAACTTTTATGTATGGGGTAAGATATAGAAGATAGACCCCCATACACAAAACTATGTAACGACTACTAGTGTTAAGTTTGACTTTATGGCATACTTCCCACAAGAAGATTCTCACACTTTATTATCCTGAAAGTGTCCCTAGCAAACAGATTATAGTGTTGATAGGTAACTGTCAGGTGGATCCTTTAGTGACTAATGAAGTCATTAAGACGTTAACAGTAGAAGTGAGAAGAGAAACATAGCACTGCAACACTCATCATTTCCGCCCAACTGAATGTGTCTCAAATCACACAGTGTATATTGTTACTTGAGTCTCCTGTACATCAGACAGGATATGGTTTAATGGACATTTCTTTTTCAATTATTCTATTTTGTAGCTCTTACTCATCAAAGCCTAACTTTGATATAAGTAGGTGGCTAAAAAGGATCCCTCAACAAAAAAATTGGGGAAAGGTATATGGCAACTGATCACCATTTATTATCACTTAATTCTGCTGTTCTGAGTACAAAACTGAAGCAATTATGGCTGTGACAAATGCTATTGTACACAGTTACTTTATGAGCAACCTTGCACCTTAGTGCAGATTCTGCATGCGCTCATTCTTTGATTTTTCTTTACTACTGTCAATGTAAGCCAATATACATTGAATGTCCTCAGGGTTTTGGTGCTATACAATGCTCTAGACTTTTACAAAGTGACTTAGTATGAAACAGAAAAGTATGGATATAACTTCCTTTTAAAACACTGAAAATTAATTTTTTTCTTTTAACAATCTCTTCTTTCTCAATAAAGTGAAATAGAACTACTGTATTGCTATACTTTTGTATGCTCTTTGAAACAACTTCCTGCCTCAATGACTGAGTTGGCTTCAGAAAATGATCCCAGCCACGCAATTCACTGTAGCTTCATCTTACTTTATACCAGGAGCACATTCTGAGGTTCTCACATTAAATTTTAATTCAGTAACACTTTCATCTTAAAAACCTGGATGGTCTGAATTGGAATGCAGGTTTGGAATGCCCCCTTGTGGCTGATATAAAGAACAATGAAATACAATTTGAAATCTAGAATGTTGGGTACATCTTTCTCTATTGCCACTTATTTAAGAGAATTTATCAAGAGCTTACTATTAGGCACTGAAGAGCAAAAGATAAGTGATGTAAACTCTGTCATAAGGAGTTCATAGAAAAATGAGAGTAAAAAAGATAATTTCAAACCTCCTTGCTAAGTATTATTTTAGTGATACTCTAATCAAGTCATGATGGTCATCTTTATTTTTGTAGGTATTCACATGGTATTTAATATTAGGTAGAAATCCCTAAAAATAAAAGCAGGGGCTGGGGATTTAGCTCAGTGGTTCTGCCCCTTGCCTTGCAAGCACAAGGACCTGAGTTTGATCCCTGGTACCAAAAATAAAAGCAATTATTTTCCATGCAAGTATAATTCATATATCCATATACTGTAAAAGTATGGGGAAAAAACCATAGTAAATTATGTATTTCTAGAGTTCTTGCTAGGATAACATGCATACTGCTTTTTCTGCTTTGTTTCTATTAGTACGTTCGTTATGTTTTTTAAAACATTATTTTAATTCCACCAGATAAGCAGTATCAGATTATCCAGATAAGGAAACTGAGGCAGAAGTCAGTCTTACCTGATAATTCAGTTTCACAGAAGAGGTTAGAATATGAATGGTCTGACTATACCATTTTCTTGGTAGATTCATCCAAAGGCTTTTGTGTAGTTTCTAATGGTAAATATGAGGGGTTTTGTGAAGTCACTGAGTAACATAAGTCTTCTACAAGAGTTAAACACACACAATACACACACACATAAACTGGATCATTTCCAACATCAGCTACTGAGCAGCAGTCACAGTTCTCGTGTTCAAGGAAGCTTTTTATCAAATTACGAAAAGCCCTGTATCCAATTATGAATCTCCAACCTCACTCAGTCCCCGGTTTGGCACTGCTCAGCCAAATGGTACGCTTGCAATACCAAAGCAAAGTGATTACATAAATAATTTAGCTGGGTCTTGTTTAATCCTACATTAAAGAAATTTAAGTAATCCTAATTAGATTCACCCAGTATAGTCATGTAACAATAATCCTACTAAATTTCCAACACTTAGTGTGAAAGGGTGCACAATTTCTTTTTTTTTTTTTGGTACTGGGGATTGAACTTGGGTCCTTGTCCTTGCGAGGCAGGCAGCGACACCACTGAGCTAAATTCCCAGCCCGGTGCACAATTTTTAAAGAATGTATTCCTTACATAAATCAATGGTATGAATCAAGATTTCAGAGAGAAATCTATAAATCCGATTTAAATCTATGCTCTTAGTACTTTAAATTGCTGTTTTTAATCCAGCTACTTTTTTTAAAAAAATCACATTTCAAAATGTCTTGTTTTCATTTTCACATACTATCTTACAAGACTGTTCTCAAGAGATTGTGAAACACTCTTTGGGAGGTTTTGATTGTTACAAGTTTCTGTCTCAGGCTCAAAACTTAAGCCCAATTGGTTCAAAGACTACATTTTAATCAGAAATTATTTCTGGGAATGGTGAACCAAAAATTAATGGGAAGCCTTTCCTCAGTTACACCCCATTTACTGGTTCCTTTTTTCACACTCTAGTGATGTTCATTCACTGGTTCAATTGTTCACTCATCTCCCCATTCCACTTACTCACATACAAGCATCAGAGAAACAGGTCATTTCTTCCTCCCCAGGAATGCATGCATTAAACTCAAGCACTGAGCTGAAATGTATAGCTGCAGTATAGAAAAGATGGTGGAGTATCTAAATCAGGAGTGGATCAGGATGTTTTAGCGAATTTTGAAGGGCAAATAGAAATGAGGTTAAGTAGAAGCAAAGAGCTAATGGATTTTCAGAGGAATTAAGAAAGAACCCCCTATACTTTTGGGGACTCGAGAAATAAGTAGATGTCAGATCTAGAAAGGCCTAGGTGCTGTGCCAAGTTTGAACTTTGTCCTTGCAATGAGATATTTCAAGTAGGGGAATAAAGTGAATAGTAAGGCCACTGAGGCGGTAGTGTAGAGAGGTGTGGAGGGAGGCATGGAATCAGAGCAAGAAATACTAGGAGCCTACTGCAATCATATGGACCTGTTAAAAGGAGAGGACAATTTAGTTTTAAACGTAAAGTGGTCCTCACTCAGCAAAATGCACAACCAAAACTCATACTTTTTCAGAAATACAGAATCTTGTGTGATATTTCTTACCTTCAAAATCAGCATTTTAATAAGTTCTTCAGGCAATCTGTATGTCTGGGAGGTACCGTTCAGATAAGGAATACAGCAGGGATAGTTAGTGGGGGAAAAATATAATCATTATTTTACGTTTGGTCAGTTTGAGGTTTGTGGTATATCCAAGGAAGCTGATCCACAGCAGAGGAGTATATGGGTCTGGAGGCTAGAAATACGTCTGGTTTGAAGATGCAGTTTAGCATTTATCGACCTGTGGTATTTGAAGCCATGGTTTGACCCATTTCTTGGGATTTTCCCAGGCAAGGTATATCCAGTTAGTCAGGCAGAGGGCTCAGGATAGAGCCCTATGAAACATTATTATTTAATAGTCACATACAGCAAAATGTACTCCACATGAAATAGAAGGTACTTCCAGTGGTAGGAAGAAACAATGTGAGGAGTGGGACGAGAGTTCCAACTGGCAGGATCCTCAATATTCTCTTTCCAGCAGAGGTCACATAAGAACAGACAAGTGTCCATTGGATTTGATAATCCTGATGTCAGAGTAAAGCTAATGGGTGGAGATTAATTCCCATTAAGTTCTTTCTTGACCTTAGTATGTGGGGATGCAATTTATAGATTCTGCTTTCAAAGTTCAGATGCGCAGAGCATGTGGGAGGAGCTTGGTGTAGAGCCAGCTTGCAAATGTTCTCTCTTCCAACAGATGGTAAATTCGTTGAAGCATAAGGAAGGCACATAAAGATGAGTAAGACCCAGTCTTAACCCTCCAAGTTCATAACAAAGAATAAGACAAGTAACTATAGTACAAGTAGGGCATTACAATTTATAAAATTATGGGGATTCAAAAGAGGAATACACTGTATGCAAACAAGCAGGAAAAGCTACTTCTCAGCTTTTAGCACAGATAATTGCACATACTAACACTTAAACCACATTAATTTGTTTCTCTCAACAATCTAGTGAATTAGTAATAAAGACAGAGTCCCATTTATTCCAAAATTCAAGCAAACTTCAAACTTATTCATGAGATATTTATTAAAATAACACATTTAGGGAAAAAAAATCAATACAATGTATACATCATTACTGAAAACTGTATACCATCATACAAAAAAGGATTTTATTTTGGGAAACTGATTTCTAATTTATGGCAAGTTTTACTTTCAGAAATAAAACCACAGAACAAAACAACCTAATTCAACCTTAAAGGCTGGCATGCTGAGCAAGGAATGTTCTTATTCTTTGTAGGAGTTCCTTCTTTACACTGTCAGGTACCAGGGCTGAAATACAAAAACAAAAACATCACTGTAGGAAGATTCCGGTACATACAAATTTGAGATTTGACATTTTATTCTGGATTACCAATATACACATTTCATAACCTTCATGGTTCAGTTAAAAAATACACATACACAAGTAAACACCCACACCCACACACACACCACACAGGTAAAGATACCTGAAAAAAAGATGTGTATTTTGCAACTCACTATTTTAGGAAACTATAGAAAACACATTTCATATTGCTGAGAAGAAAACACAGGAGGACTCTTCTGGAGAAAACCATTTTAAAGTACACAAGTATGATTTAAATATAACATTTTACACTTGATCAAAATTATTATAAGCAAAGCCAAAAGACAAAAGCTGAGGAAACATTCTTATAGAAAATCCTGATCTTTTACTATATAGGCAGCTGTTTCAAACTGGTAAGACCAGCAGGCTAACACAAATGAACAAAGGAGACAAAAGGAGAACCATAGTTCTTAAACATAAAAGGGGCTCAATCTCAAGGGAAAAAAAATTAAAATCACATTCAGATAGCATGTTCTACCAATCAAAAATCTAAAATCTGAAGGTTAATAATATGTATGAGGGAAAATAGACATTCTCATATTAAGTTATGGGAGTATAAACTAGTATGATGTTTAAGAAAATGGCAATGGGGAAACTAAAATGTCTAATACATTTGATTAGGTCCAGGGGAAATGGAAAACTTCAGATACAATTCAGAACACAGATAAACGGCAAATATTCTTCTTTTTAAACTGTTTAAATCTTCCTATAAACACTACATACTTTTAAAAGTCCACTGGAAAAGTAATTAATATGTATGAAGCATTTTTAGGTAAAATTTTAGTGACCAAGAGTAGATCAACTGTCTTAATATATGCTGTAACTACAATGGGATATCTTAGCCAGGAGTAGTAACACCTGGCTGTAATCGTAGCATCCCAGAAAGCTGAGACAGGAGGATCTCAAGTTTGAGCAAGGCATGGGGAACAAGGCAGGAAGGACCCTGTCTCAAAATGAAAAGAAATAAGAAAGGGCTAGAGATGTAGCTCAGTGGAAAGGCCCTGTGTTCAATTCCCAGTACCTCAAACAACAGAAAGAAAAAAAAAAAGAAAAAGAGCTATCTTGAGGGAATTTCTTGGTATAAGGAAAGTGTTTGTTAACCTGAGTACAGCAATGGTTACATGAACCTATACATCTGTATAAAGGTCATAAAACTGTACACTAAAAAAGGTCAATTTTATTATATGCTAAGAAAAGATTACTCTTGACAATAACAAGACTGAAAACACAAAATAATTTATTTTTACTCGTCTTTATATGCTCACTCTCTAGTGAGGAATCTACAAGACACTGAAATAACCAAGATATAAGTGTTGAAGAGGCAAAGGGTAATGTCTAACCCGTATAACCTGTTCCTAAACAATCTTAGGAGATGAAGCACAAATTACATAAAACATAAAATTACATAAATTATATATAACAGAAAAAGAAATTCAAAAACTTATCTTAAAATATAAACTCGTAAGGGGAAAAGAATACTTTTTTTTCTTTCCCTGAGATATACTTGAAGAAAAAAGAAATTATATTTTTCAGTTATAAACAAGATTTAAGAAATGGAAAGGACCACGGGATTCTGTAGCCCATTCTCAGCAGGTCCCAATTCAAATAATTAGTTTTCGAAAGTAATAATCTTCAAATTTATTTACTTTTTACACTTAAATTATTTTTACTATTTCTATGTGAGAAAAAAAATCTCATAGGTCATCTAATTTACTTGCTTCTACTTACAAACACACACATAAAACATGACCCTTACAAAATAATTTAAAATGATGTCACTACATCCAAGTTAACAAGGATACAGTTCCCGGCTTATTTATTACCTACCAGTGGTAATATAATATTCCTTATCTTTCCTTGCCTTCTATAAACAAGGCATTTAAAGGACAAATTAGGAAACTGGTTGCACTGTGAGTCTTACATATGGATTATTTTCAACATGAAGTTATGGAACTACTAAATTCTTAGACATTCAAGCAGACAGACCCTCGTTTATTTTTAATAAGGAAAGAGCAGAGTAATGACTCAGGGGCTGGAGTAAATCTTTGATTTATTAAATATTTGAGTGGAGTCAGGCCATATCTAATAAAGTTTATAAATTCTAACTTCCGGTGATATTTTCCTCTGTAAAATCCTGTAATTTAAAAATTTTCTCTCTATTAACAACTGTTATCAACACATCAGTACAGTGTTTTAGAATAGAAACATTTTACACCTATTGTCTCATTTGTTATTCAAAACTACTAGAAAGGCAGGCAGGCAGGCAGGCAGGCCATTATGGCTCTTCCCACATGAGGCAATGAGAGTGCCTAAGTAATTTTGGAAAGGGTGCTGGTTTTCCTTTTAAAAGAATATTTGAATCAACTGAAGTAAAGTATGTCTGCAGTTCACGTTTCCTTTGACACAATTTGCAGTCCTTACCTCTGCCTTTTGGAGTGATTTCAGCCACCAAGTCATCAACAGTAACGTGTTCTAGTCCTTTTTCTTTAATTACCTCTTATGCAAAAGCAAAAAACAAATCATATCATTTAAAATCATTATCTGTAAGAAAGATTTTCATAGAGGAAGGGTTAAAATCATGTTTTTTAGAGTACAGATCGGTCTTTTTACAACAAGAGGACACTTCTTTTTTTAAAATGAAAATGTAATCTTAAAAATACAGTATTTCCCAGATAAAAAAGATAAAGTCTGTTCATCTTTCAGCTAAATAATTTGTACCATTTACAATAAATTTGAACTTAGAATGTTCAAATCTAACAAGTGTAAAAAGCTGGAAACTTGTAATTGGACAGATCTTATTTTACTATAATCATACTAGGTTTTCCATAAATGACATGATTAACAAGAGGCAAAAATGTAGAACTACTTTTCTGGGTTCTCTTCTCTAGGCTGGGCTAAACAAAATATAAGAAAGTATATAATCAACTTTGCTTGACTTCTACTAGGTGTTTTAACTAATGTTCACAACAATCTAATGGGCTAGGCATTTTTTTCCACTTTACAGGTGAAGCTACTAAAGCTTACATCTGATCTGAACTTGGGTTGAAATTCATCTTTAGTCTTTTACCAGTGAAAGTTTATGACCTCAAAGTCTTGTTGTTTTACTGTGCTATAATGCCTTCTTAAAGTCTCTTATTATTTTTGTGTAGACACAATATCCAGAATTTCATACACCAAAAGCTGAGCCAGAAAAGAATCATCTTAGTGACATGTATAATCTATCAAGTGACATCTTCAAAATCAGCAACTTGAGAAACTTCCATCTTTTTAAGTGTACTTCTTTTAAGAGATTTTATAGATGAATACTTTAAAATTAACACTGTAAAGGGATAAGTTGTAATTCTTGTAAATCTGCCAACCCTCAAGAGCTAAATTTGTTATTAAGTGCATACTGAAAAAAATAACATGACTCTGTATTTTAATGGCAGAGAAAATCTTGAGTGCTCATGCCTCATTTAAAAGAAACCCAAACAAAATTCCTAAAAATGTAGAAATTAGGTCTACATATACCACTGAGAAGAGGAAGCCATTAATATGAGATTTAATTTGCTATCTTTTAAAAATTATGCTTGAGCACTCATAGTGTAAAATAATGACTATACTTTTATTCCAGTGAAGCAAAGACCAACCCAGTTTAGAGCAATGGAACTAGTTTATACACTAAGTGAAAATGATTACCTTTACAGTGTGCCTTCAACTGATCCTTCCAGCCACATTCAATTAATTTAGCTCGCAGCAACTCTTTGAGGCTGTAGAAAAAGAAGAGTTTTCAAGTTACACAATGACATACATCTTCGATATGAAGGTCTGAAGCAATATTTCAACTGTTCAACTAAAAATTCCCTGCCTTCCAGTTTTGACACTTTAACTGTGGCCTAATCTTGGTTCTATCACTAAGTTATTCTTCAATCTTATGCAAATCATTTAAACTCTGGGCCTTGCATTTAATATGGGCATCATTTAAGGAGTAAAATTAAATGAACAGGAGGGACTGAAATACTTCTCAAGGTCTATTCCATGGATGTCCAACCTTTTGGCTTGTTTGAGCAACACTGACTGAAGATGAATTGTCTTGGGCTGTATATGAAATATATAGTTAATGTCTGTAAATAGCAAAACCTCCTTTCTAAAAAATATTTTTTATTACAACACTGCAATGAAATAACAAGACCGTGGGCTACAGTAGTCTACTATCTGGACTTACTCTTTCCACTTCCCTTCACCATTAGGAATATCACGGGTCTTGTACAACTTCTAGAGGGCTTGTACCTCTGAACTTGAGATTGTACCACTGAAATCTTCAAGTTTCAAAATCCATTCTTTGACCAGAAATTCTGTTCTTTTAGCTCTCTTACTTCCCCATTATACCTCATTTAACCGTAGACTCCCCTTGCTTCTCTACATTTTAATAATTCAGCAATTGGCTATGCCTATCATAATTTAATTAGCAATATCTTTTTACTTAATGGTAAAAAAGTGTCTAATGGCATCATGGATATCATATTTTTATATCCCTTTGCTATACTCACTCTTACAAATCCCCAACCCTCCACCTAATTTCTTAAACGGATCAAATTATGCAAACTGTTTCTCTTTTGTTATTCTTTCCAGTATATGACATTTCTATCTTGGTATCTCATTAGGCTTTTCAATCTCAACAGGGCCAAAATCCAACTTCATATTCTCTACTATTTATCCTTTTTCAAAACGACAACTGATTCTTCTGGGTCCTTGGACTAGAAACCTTGGCAGCATCCTTTATTAAGCTTCCTTGTTCACACTATACATTCAACCCATGAATAAATCCCACAGATTTTAGTTTAAAAATATATACTCAGAATTCAAATGTTTCTCACCATCTCTGCCATTAATACCATCTTTTCTTGTCTGGACTATTACCCAACTTGCGAAGCTATCTCCTTGTCTCTTACCTTCTGTACCTCATTCTCTTCCCACTGCTCAAAACCCTCCACAGCCTCTCCAATCTGTTCAGAATAAAATTCCAAGACTTAGCCAGGAGCAGTGGCACACACCTGTAATCCCAGCACAGAGGGAGGCTGAGGCAGGAGGACTGCAAGTTGAAACTGTACTTAGAAACCTTGAGATCCAGTCTCAAAAAGCAAATAGGGCTGGAAATGTGATTCAGTGTGAAGACCCTGGGTTCAATTCCCAGTTCTGGGAAAAACAATTCTACAACAGCCCAAGTGATCCTCTACAATTTACCTTATCCTCAGCCATACTTCTAACTTTATCTCCCTTCTCTTGCATCCAACTTAAGTCTCCTTAGCGTCCACGTAACTCTCAAGTTTCCAGCAAGCTCAGCCTAGAACGTTGCTTCTTTGAGCTCCCTCAGTTCCTCACATCCTTATCTCTACTCAGTGAAGCTTTCTCTGCCTTTTCTATAGAAAATGTTACTCCCTCCCTTATTCTGCTTTATTCTTCTTATAATACTTATCATCTTTAACATATTACACATTTATCGTCTCTTTCCTAGCACGTAGGTTCCTTAATTTTATTACTGTAGCTGTGGCACCTAACGGGGCATGACACATAGTAAAAACTTGGTAATTTCAAGTTCATGAATGAAAAATCAGACAAAAACCATATATAATTCCCTATACTTACTACGAGTAGTACTATCCTTTCAAGTTACCCATGGTGCTTTTTCTCTTTCTTAAAATCTTTTAATAGTTCCCATCATGCAACAATAATGTCAGAAACACATGTTTTTGCAAACCACGGCACTCATATATATGATAGAAAAAACACTCCCACTCCCAGTAATATGAATCTGGGTAGAAATGATAGAAATATGGTCTAGGCAAGGCTGATCATAAATTTCCTATTAACTGAGATGGTAATCAAGCTAGGCCCTTTCCTAAGGAAGGCAGGCTGGCCTATTAAGAACAAGGCCAGCACAGAGAAAAGCAGAGATGAGAGGGAAAGAGACATTCTTGGCAATAACTTTTGCATGCCTAGACTCGATGGATGAAGTAATTTCAAGCCCTACATTTTTGAATTGGATGAACTTATATATTTCCATTGGTTAAGTCTGTCGCTGTTTCTATTATTTTCAATAGAATAAATTCTGACTTACACAAAATCCACTCCTCCTGTCCACTGTTCCAGCCACATGTTCTTATAATTTACCCTCTAGCTTTCTGCAAGTATTTTGCAGTTCTGTAATTATTTTCTAGTTCTCAGAGTAGTATCATGTTGTACTAAACTGTGACTTAGGTATTTACATATTCTGTTCTGTGTAGAACATCCTCTCCTTTATTTGTTTGAAGAACTGCTAATCCTTGAACCTCACCTGACATTTAATTATTCCATGAAATCTCACTTCAGCACCTTAAACCCAGAAAGAATTGAAAAGATTCCTTATGTATGTATTTCTCTTGTAAACTTTATCACCCTGCTTCTGGGCACCTTTCTTAATTCCTCAACCCTTTCTTTGTACTTCTCATTCCACTCAAATCCACTCATTCTTCAAGTATTTACCTGGTCAATTAGGTACTAGGCATAACAGTAGATGCTATATATACAAAGGGGTTTCTACTCTCATGGAACTTAGATCACAATGGAGGACTCAAACTAGTAAAGTTGGTAGTTAGATGACAATGAGATTAAATACTACGACAGAACAAAGTATTCAGGATTTAGTAGCTAGATTCCTTGAAGAGGAAATGCTTAAAATTTGCTACAAATGAAAGGAAGAAGAAAAGTATTTAAGAGAATAGAAATAGCATATTCTGCTCCATGGCTGAGAGAGCTTGGCAACTGAACGTGGTTCTATCACGTTGTCTCCCTGGTTATATTATGGCTTCAACTGCTTGAGTATGTATTTCTTCTTCTCCATTATACTTCTTTGAAAGTTAACCATTTCTGATTATCTTTCTACATTATCTTCATCCCTTGAATTCTTGCAACACTGAACAGACCTAAATTATTTCTTAGAAGTGTTAGGAATAGAAATTTTCGATAATCACAATTTTCTTTTCACTGACATGTTTGATATTTAGATTCATAGAACAATGTAAATGTGGTAAAATGTAATTTATAAACATAGTCTGTAACTTACCGTTCTCTTTCTCCAGTTTCTATTAACTTTTGGTTAATTGCTGCTCTCATCTGCGCATCTTTGTTCATCTTGCTAACCTGGACATCAACATATATGTTCAGATACAAAACACTTAAAAAACATTTTCTTCTAAATCTTCTAGGCAAACATCCTAACTTGTTTAACATTCTATCAACGGAAGGGCTGGTAAACTTCAAGTGTGCTAATGATGTCATCCCAAGAAGTCTTATTCATGTACTCGCTATACAATTTCCTTCCCCCACATACCTTTTTATTAATGAATCTTGAGATAACAGTTATTGCAACATTTATTAAACATTTAAGTGCCTGATACTAATTCTTTGTGTTTTTTTCTTTGTGGGTTTTTAAAAAAAATTACATTTAATTCCCCAAACTTAGTTACACATTACTAACATAATTTGCATTTTACAGATGAGGAAACTGAGGCACAGAGATAGAAAATGAAGGTAGAATTTTAATTCAGGTACTTTGAGATTCCAGTAGCCCTTGCATATAACTGACTGATGATCATTTTTGCACTTTAACTGCATTCAAAATTTGGAGAAGTTATATAATCTACATAGCAATGTAAGATTAAACACTATCAGTGAAAAAACGAAATTATCACACAAGACTATGATAAAGTGTTTTACTCTTCAGCAGAGTGTACTCAGAATTGTAACTGCTACACTACCTGCAAGTGTATGTGCGTATCATTAAGCACACATATTGCTGATGGGATTAAGTGGAAAATAAATCTGAAACTAATTCTTAGAAAATTCTCAACTTTCTGTAAAAACAGACAACCCAATCCAAAATGTTGGAGAAATGAGAGTAAGGTTAAGTTGTGTGGGCATCTAAGCCATTTAAAAGTTCAAGCCTTGGAATAAACTTAGCCTTCCCCCACCTAATCTGTCATCAACTTTAATACTTTTGTTGTCTCCTCCACAGGAAAACTTAAGAGTGGCAATAACTTTTCAGAGTTGGAATATTTTTTTCCTCCCTGGGGAACAAGGAAAAGGAGGGATAGAGAAAGAACTAAGAAATGTTTGCTTTTGTAGCTGGTGGCTAAGCTTTTCAATAACCACAAGGTCTGGTCAGCAGGATACTGAACTTGTTCTCGCCTTGGCTCCCCAAGCGTGGAGAGTGACCTTGGACAAGTCACTTACTTCTTCAAGGCCTCAGTTTTCTCACTGGTAAAAACTGGGCGCTAGGGGATCCCTCCCGTTTCAAACGCTTGGGAAACATAACAGGGCGGAGACTGCTGGAGGCAGGAGGGGAGGAGCCAGAAAACAAAGCGAGGACTGGCTCCAGGCCAACTCCAGGAGCACGCCCAGTCGGAGAGCCCTACAGGCCCACGAGCGCGGGTCGGGGAAGCTTAGGGAAAGACAGCACATCGAAAGGAGCCTGGGCCGGGCCCGGGTCCCGGCCCTGAGGACCACGGGCATAGCTCACCACCATCACCGCGGGCGAGGGCCGTCCCTTCCCAGCGACGAAATGACCCTTGCGCTGGCGACCGTTACCTACCACACTCTTCGGCTGCCCGGACTTAGACCCTCAGTAGCTCGGGCACCTAAGCACACAGAAAGCTAGAACACGCATTTCCGGGGCGGGACCTCGCCACCCTGCCTATAATATGAGAATTTAACTAGCGCGGGCCGCCTCCTGGCCGCTCAGCCCTCCGGGTAAGAGAGTCCAGAACCTGCCAACACTTGGACTTTACGTCCTCGAAAAACTACATCACCCAGCATGCAACGTGGGGCGCTTTCTCACAGACACTACATTTCCCAGAAGGCATGTTGAGGTGCAGTGCTTTCTGGGATGGGAACCACGGTGCCTCTCAGACTTAAGTCTAGGAGTGAGGCGCGGACCTTTTCACAAGAGCTTTATTAATTCTCACGCTAAGATCTTGGAAGGTGATGGAGGTGGCAGCTAATTGTTCTCTGCGGGTGAAGAGACCTCTATTGGACCCCCGCTTCGAGGGTTACAAGCTCTCTCTCGAGCCGCTGCCCTGTTACCAGCTGGAGCTTGATGCAGGTGGGAAGCAGCGGCGCCCCCTCGCATTCCGTTCCTTTTCCCCTTTCGGCGCCATCGCCCCGAACCTTCCCACTTTTTCTTTCTGTTGCGGCCAAACAAGGTAACACGGCCTTCCGTACGGCCGTCCCGGCCGGATGCACCGTGGGTGGGCCTCCCAGAGCCCCGCGGAAGCTGTTCAGCAGCAGGACCGTGGACTGGGTCTCTGCTCTAAAGTCGGCCACCCGGGCCGCCTGTGCGCGCCCGGCCTCGTCCTCCTACGGGGCAAACTAGGGGCGTTCAGCCTGGTCTGCAGACGTGTTCCCCGAGAAGCCACACCTTCTTGGAAAATCCCCAACTCCCGTTTCCTCTGACGCAGAGCCATTTCTTAGAAGAGAAGCTACGTTGTGGACAAAGAATATTTTCAATTACACAGGTCCCGTTACACTAAGGACTCTCGTCCAGAGAATCGCTAGACATTTTTGAAGAAATGATGATTTAGTAACCGCGCTGCTACTACTTGTTTATACATTTTTGTTAATGATAAGAGCCCAGAGATCTGAATTTTTAAAGTACATTTCCTGCGGGTTCTCATGCATGTTGTCAGTAGATCACATTTTTGAGAAATGTTATCTATAGTTAATTAGTAGACGTTAAGAGTATCAAACAAGTGTTCATTCTTTGATTAAATTCAGAAACATCAAGGACCGTTTTGTGTAACATGGTATCAAGATGAGTAAGACACGGACTGTAAGTGCGTGACAAAGCTTTTGTCTAGTGAGGAAGAAGTGTCTGAATAATTATAAAATAATGTGGGGAAGCAGGGATAGGGGTATGTTCAAAATACAGTGGTAATACTGAGTGTTTCCTGAACGGGGAAGGCTTCCTGGAGAAGTTGGTGTCTAAGCTGAGGTTTAAAGAATGGGTAGGAGTTGAATATGAGAAAATGCACTTGATTTTTCATTTTCTTTTCTCTCATTCCCACCATGCTTGGTTTTTTTCCACTCTTTTTGTCAGTAAATACTTCCATGTTGTTAGCTAATTCATTGAAAATGAGATGAAACTCAAAACTTCATGGCTCAAATGAAAAAGCACTTGCTTACAAATGTATGGGTAAATGAGGTGGTTCTTTTAGTCCTAACTGGGCCCATTCACACGTTTGTTCACTTACGGATCTGCTAGGCACCTCTGCTTATCCTGACTTCCTGAAGTTTGAGAGTTCCCTGGCTACAGACTCTTTTATTTCATCTGATTTGCTCTTCTCTATGTGGTCTCATTCAACAGCAGGATGGATAGCTTAGGCTTTTCCAGGTGGTGACACTGTCTATGTGCTTTTCCAGTCTGCTTCCTGCGTTGTTTATTATTTTATCATTGCCCAACACAAATGTAATATTCAAACCTAGTCAGTTTGGGAAGGATGTACTAAAGGCTGTAGACCTAGGGAGGCATAAAGATTGCGATTGTTAGTGCAAGTCTATATAGTTCTTCATGTTGGAGTAATCTTTAGTGTATTTCTTTGTTGGTTCTATCCAGTTTTTTTAGCAAATGGATTAAATTTCACATTTTAATTTCTCTATGCCTTCATCTTAGTCATTCGCCTGAAATATAGTAGTCTCCTGACTAGCCTCCCTGCCTTCTCTTTGGAGCTCCTTCATTCCATTCACCATAAGACTAAATTATTGCCAGGTGTGATGGCGCATGCCTGTAATCCCAGCACTCAGGAGGCAGAGACAGGAGGATCACTGCAAATTCGAGCCTAGCCTGGGCTACATAGTGAATTCAGGGCCAGCCTGAACTACAAAGGGAGACCCTGACTCAAAAAAAAAGACAATTATTTTAGTTTTAATTCTGTATTTCTTTGATGGATGTTTCTTCCACTAGACTGAGTTCCGTGAAAACTGCATAATGTTTCTCTCTTATACACTGCTTTTTCCCTAATTCTTGGTACATGGAGTACTAGGTGCCAATAACGAGTTGAAAACATGAGGAAAAACATGAGCAAAGGGAAAGAGTTCTGTGCAGGACACTATTAAGATCTTACATTGCAGGTGCAAAAAACCCCCAGCAAACGTGAGAAGAGTTCGATGAGTAAGGACCCATTGGTCTTTTGGACATTATCCTGTGCTTCTGAAACTTTTTCATTGGCTATTACAATAGAGATAAACTTCAACTGTCTAGTTTTGCCAACTTTTTAGCTTGCTAAGTGGAAATGTTTCTCAAAAACTGTTATGTACTCATTTGTCTTTTCATAAATAGATATTTTAACATAAAAAGCAAGAATTGAAATCTCCCAATAAATAGCCTTCTAAGTTGAAAACCTTAACATTTATTAAAAGCTCACTAGGTTACACCTCCCTACCCTAGTTTCATCTGTGTTGATCTTAAAGCCTGTGTTTAAAAAAATGCACAGTTTGGGCCGGGGATTTTGCTCAGTGGTTTCGCCGCCTGCTGCGCAAGCTCAAGGACCCGAGTTCGATCCCTGGTACGGAAAAAAAAAAAAAAAGCACAATTGGAGGCGATATGCTATTTGGAGGTTTTAAGTATAAAGGTACATGGACAGTTGGATAGTTTACCCTCAGGCTCCATAAAGGTTGAGTTTGGAAGACAGAAGCTTTTGCAATAGTTCATATGGGGGCCTTTTATTAAGAATTACTTTTAAAAAATTACTTGAAGATGATTTTTAACTCTTTTAAAAATTATCATTATGAGAAATAGTAAGATATAATTGGAGAGCTCCTAACAATTTGATTCCTGTTATCCTAATCTGAGGAGTTCACTTTAGTTCAGCAGTTTGGTAGCTACCCCTTGTCTATGAAACACTGTGTTTAAGGTGCAAGGATGAAGAGATGTGGTCTCTTGGTCAGAGAGCACAGAATAGAGGTTTACTCTCTTATCTTAATGTTATTAAATTGTCCTAGAATTCTCCCTAGTATATAAACAGTAATTGCCTTTTTCTGTTCCAGAAAACTAGGTAAAGAACTTTTTCATAAAATTATAATTGCTCTTTGATCCAGCAATTCTATTTTTGGCCATTTATTTTATAGACCTCCTTCACATAGAATCTTCACCTAATACATCTTTCTGGGTTTTCCTCCTCTATTTCACCTAGCTAGTGCCTACTTTGCTCTTTCATTTGGGTTTACATGTTACTTTCTCAGGGAGTCTTTCTTGACTACCGAGTTAGAATCTATACTGTAAAATCTGGACAAGTTCAAATCTACCTTATACTTTCCAGTAGTACCCAGTACTTCATAGACTTTATCAGACTTCATAGCGTTCAATGTCTTTTTTCTCTGTCAAGACTATTCTGCATTGAAGAGTCACGAGTCTTTCTTTTTCAATCCTTTATCTCCAAGGTTGGAGCACGCCTGCTGAGTAAATGGGTGATTTTCTGTCACAGACACATTAAGCAGCTTTACTGAGATCTAATTGACAATAAGCTACAGTTTAACAAGTTTACGTATACACCCTTGAAACCATCACCATAATCAAGATACTAAACTTAGTTATTATCCCCCAAAATTTCCTTGTGCCCATCTATAACCATTGTTCTGTTCCTCCCACATTCCCCCTTCCCCAAGAAACTACTGATCTACTTTATACCACTGTGAATTAGTATGCATTTTCTAGAATTATGTATGCATAGAATCATATGATAGTCACTTAATTTTGGTCTGTTTTTCCTTATAGTTTTATCAGTTTTTGCATCATGTTTAGAAGTGCTGTTACTAGCTTTAAAAAACATTATTGATTATTATGTCCTCTTGGTAAGTTGATCCTTCATCATTATGAAATGACCTTTATCTCCAGCAATATTTTTTTGCTTAGGAGTCTGTCTAATATTAGTCATATCAACCTTTTTGATTAATTTTACCATAGTGTATTTATATTTTTTCCATCTTTTTACTTTCAGCCTGTTTGTATATTTTTGCTTAATATGCATTTCTTAGGTAGAAATAGTTAGGTCTTGCTTTTTTATCCAATCTGACAATCAATCTCTCTTAGACTTTTTACATTTAATGTGATTATTGATTTGTTTAGGTTTGGTTTAGGTTATTATTTGATTTGTTTATTCTACTTAGTCTTTAGGAGAATGTAGTTTTCCCACTTTTCTTCCTTTTTTTATATTGAACATTTTTAAAATCAAGTTTTCTTTTTTTTGTTGGCTTTTAGCTGTAGATCTTTATCGTAGTGATCATTTTAGGGTGTACTATACGTTCAAAACTTACAGTACAGGAAACATTCAAATGATAGTAGGCTATTTAAGGAATAAGAACCTTAGGCTAGTATACTTCGATTTCTCTCCTCCAGGTCCTTAGGCTGTTGTCATACATTTTACTTTTGCATGTCATTGAAAACTTCATAATATTTTGTTACTATTTTTTCTTTAAATAGTGAATTGTCTTTTAAAAAGATTTAAATAGAAAAAAATCTGTGTATTTAGTCATGTAGTAGCTATATGTGTGCTTTATATTCCTTTATGTAGATCCATATTTTATCTAGTAAAATTTTCCATCTCCAGAAATGACTATTTTTGTCATCTTCTGATAATATATTCATCTCTTCAGCTTTTGACAACAACTTTCTGAAAGGATTTTTGTTTTTCTTTGATTTTGAA